GTCATGGTCACTGGATCTTGGACACAGGTTTGAATTTTGTGATGTTGGGGGTTTTATAGTTCTGTAGCTTTGGTTACGTTTAGGTTATGATGTCAGATTTAGTTTGTGCTTTATTCCTTGCTTCTCTGTTTATTCCTGCCTCCTTTGTCTTTCTGTGCTTTACTTGGTTTTCTTTTGTGCTTGGCATCAGGTTAATCTTGTCTCGCTGTTCAGTTGTGGCTCTCTTCCTGTTTTATTTTGGTGACTGTTCTTCTCTGTATCCTGTGTCTAATTTCCTTCCAGGTAATTATGATAGTTTACTGCTGCTGCGTTCCCACCTGTTGCCTTTTCCTTCATCATCCTGCGTGTCTCTGTATCCCCTCATATTTTGTTGTGTTCTCCATCATGAGTGTGGCCTATTTCATAATGTGTTTTTAAAATATCTGACACTTACAAACACAAGAAGTCCTTCATGTTTTCATGTTACAGCTTTTCTGTTCAAATAGGTTTCTGATTTTGAAAATCACTGAAGCTTTTCTGTGTTAGTGTCATCCTAACAAACCATCTTCGTGTCATTTTAGAGGAGAAATAGTCTCTTACTTTGTGTTTGAGACTTCAGGTTCATTACTGAAGTGCATAGGCTCGTCTTTGGAAAAGTTAGACAGAGAGTCGAATCCTGAAGTCTCTGTTCCTTTTCTGAAACACAGACATATAATATTTAGCACATTGTTAATTTGTATCTTCATGTTGTTAGAAATAAGTCACTTATTATGAGTACAGGACTGAGGTTCTGGAGGTTTTCAGTAAAAGCAGAAACATTCACTGTCACAGGGTCTCAGTTTGGATTTTATTTATATCACTACCACAATAAGCTGATCTTACAGATATGGAAGCATGTTTGTTCTGCCTGCTAAGGGAATTTTCTTCAGCTCATTTTACAGCAGAAACATTTTCTTACTTTGTGTTTGAAGGTCCAGGTTCATTACTGAAGAATGGAGGATCATCTTTGGAGATGTTACTGTTCACTGACAGACACTCTGATCCTACAGACGCTGTTCTGCGTCTGGGCTGCTGACCTCTGGGAACACAAACATATAATATGTAACACATCATTCATGTTGACGGGATCTGTCTTGGTCCCAGGGTCACTGACCCAGGGTTTGAGGTTTTGGGGATGTTTCTTGTCTTCAGCATCTCCTGTGGAAGTCAGTCTCCATGTTTATTTACCTCTCTGTCTCACCAGCTGTGTCCCTTTCCAAAGATCCACATCCTAAATGGTCATTCTAAACTGGTGAGAATGTAAGAAAATTTAGCTGTATAAGCAGCTAATAAAAGAACTAATCAGTGCAGTTGATATCAATGCTAGTTTGCACTGAACTCTTCTTGTTTCCTTTTTCCAATGTCTTTTTGTAGTTTTTTTACTTGATGATAAGGATGGAAGTTTTAAAAAATTATAAAATATGCATTTTTCCAACAAGAGTCAGTTTGTCTGTGGCCCACAAGCTTGGTGAACAGTTTATAATGTCTATCTATTACTCAGGCAGTCCTCCCTATACATATTTATCTCTATGAGTACTGCATGCATACAAATGTAAAAACTCCCTCATGAGTTTCATTTTGCATTATTTCTGTGCAAACAGGTTTTTAGTCTTTAACATCCGCGGTGAAATTTTGCTCCGGATGTTCCACATCAAGGGTTTAGGGGGAACACTTCACTAAAATAGATCCCACACATTATTTCTTCATAACAAATAAATCATCTTCACTTCACTTTACAGTAGAAACGGTCTCTTACTTTGTGTCTGCAGGTCCAGGTTCACTGTCATTTATGGAAAGGTCTCTCTTCATAGGAAAACAGAGAGATTGTGCACTGTCCTCCTGTTCCTCCAAAACATTCATTTTCAGCCAGGCTCACCGGTAACTCAGAAATGCTAAGCATTAGCACAGAATACAAACCACTCTCATGACTGACAAAACAGGAAGTACAACACACACACAGAGAGACTCCAGCAGTGAACTGAGTTGTCAGTCCACTTCCTGAATTAGCACATCATTGTTTTTTCTTCTAGTCCACAGAGACAGCTGACTGAAAGCAGACGAAACATAATGTCGGGCTTAAAGCTCACATTCATTTCTTCCTCCTGCTCCGTAGTTTGCAGTGACCTAGATCAATAGAGAAGAGATGCTCCTCCCTTCTCCATTTACAGGAAATCACATGACGTCATCCTGGGTGTGTGTGTATGTGAGAGAGAGAGAGAGAGAGAGAGAGAGAGAGAGAGAGAGAGAGAGAGAGAGAGAGAGAGACATACAAGAATACATAAATATATCATATAATTAGGCTTCTAGATTTATGATTCAAGAACTTTCAGAGCATCAAATCACATCGAACACATTCTCAAAACACACATATATGGACAATGAAGGTTTATATATATAATTTGAGGCCCCCTAATGGTAGACTTCTGGTTTTATCACCAAAATGAATACTTTCGTTTCTAACTGGTAAGTCGAGTGGCATAGTGAGTAAGCGAGCAGGTAGCAACTTGATTCTAATCATGTAGAAGTCAATAGTTAAACATTAATGTAGCTCCATCAGTGTGTGTCAGGGAGACCTTTGGTCCAGCTTGGTTGTACGTCTCTTTTCTTACTATCAAAGACAACAGGCCTAAATTTAACAGCCACTTAAACATTGCTATCAGAGTAATCTAAACTGGGTTAACCCTTAAAGGTCTTTACACTTTGGGTTGGTTGTAAATTTTATGAAAAGAAGCTAGCATGGAAGAAATATGATACCACTACGTCACATTTTTAGAGGTTTGATTAAAGGATTTATAGTGGAATACCTGATTATTAAGAGAAGAGATTTTATATCACGATAGTCTTCAGCATAACGTATCTATCACGATATAGCAATAACTATATTTGTAGATTTAATTGCGTTGTCACAAGTAATGTGAATAATCAGCAGCTTGTTTTGATTTAAATATTTATTTCCCATAATAAGTTCAACAGGGTAGATGTACTTAAGGAACATGAGACTTTTTCAGATAAATAAAGGCAAATATTGCAAACTACACAAAAGGCAGCCGCTAAAGCGTTTAAGTTTCAAAATAGAACAAACAAAACAGACTAAATTGTCAATTCCACTTAGAAACAAAATATTAATTCTAAAATAAATCTTAGTTTGTTTTACAGAAGAACAGACAAAACTGACTAACTTTTGTCAATATCAAATAAACTGAGAACTAAAAGGAAATTCTCAATCTCTCCTTGTTGTATAGCTGAGCTTTTCAAACAGTTTTAACAGTTACTTTAGTCTGACAAAAGCCGAATGACGAATTAGCGCTTCCAGTCAGAGACTGAGGCTACGTCCACACGTACACGGGTATTTTTGAAAACGGAGATTTTCCGTTTTCGTTTTAAAAAATAATCCCGTCCACACATAAAGGCAGAAATGAAGGAAAACGCTGCTATGAACATGCCAAAGCAGCAGGTGGCGCTAGATTCCTAACCGTGCAGAAATGTTGGCCAATCAGAAGTCTAGAAGCCTCGGTGGGAAAAAGTAAACAAAGCTGGGGCATAGAGGCAGAACAGAGTCGTATGTGTGGAGGGACAGTAACTGTGTGTATATGTAAGCATTTAAACACTGCAGAGAGTAGAATTAACAGTATTGTAGAAATTCATTTCACCGAAACAATAACGTGGCGCACAGTGTGACGCATGCACCAGTTTATTGTATTTCCAGACTTGCTTTCGGCACAATTTACAGTGCACGCTACTCTGTTTTTTGTCAGACTTGAAATAGTCGAAATACCTTCACACTACGGAACTTCTATGGCTCTTCCGTTCGACAATCTCTCCGGCGTTGGAACCATCATCTGTTTTCTCTTCGGTCATGCTCATTTCCTCCATTACCCGCTGGCTGCTTCCCAAACAAACACACGTGCGGCTTGGCACTTGTGCTGTACGTACAAGTCACCGACTGACTGGCTGTGATTGCGCCTAAAATGGCTACTAAGAAAAGCGCACTATCGGATAGCTAATTCTATCGAAAATAATCAACTATCCATGAGCTTAGTTGCTTTTATAAATATTCAGTCAAGTATAATAGTAATAACTTAGTTTAGCACCTTTTAAAAGACCCAAGAATGCTTTACAGAGGAGCAGAAGGTTTTGGTGAAGACGTGAGTTTGAGAAGTTTTTTGAAGGATTCCAGTGACGGAGCGTTGTGAAGCTGATATGGAAGAGTTGCAGAGGGTGGTGGCCTCCAGCCTGATGACTCTGTTCCCAAAGGTATGGAGGCTGGTGCGCGGGACAGAAAGCAGGCCCGTGGCTGAGGACCGTAGCATCCAAGACTGTGTGTATGGTTGCAGCAGATCAGAGAGATACTGAGGGATCAGGGTATTGAGGGGTTTGTAACAGGATCTTGTAAGTAATGTATGACATGACAAGAGGACATTTACGAGGGTGGGGATGATATGTTCTCACAGCTGCCCTTCCCTGGGATGTGGGTACTTGCTGGTTCCGGGGCTTGTGGCTGGATGTTCTGGCACAGGCTTGTAGCTCATCTTTGTCGCCAGGGGTGGGAGGGCTCTGCCGGGTACTGGGCGGTACTTGTGGGCCTGGAGCCCTGGGACCCTGTACTGGGCTGCACCTGGGAGGTCGGCCGCCCCTCACCTCTGGGACTCTCACCCTGTGGCCATGGGCGCCCCATCTAGGGCCTCCTTCCTTCTCCTCCTGGGTTGGGCGCGCAGATGTTGCTGAGATGTGTGGCCTTGGGGCTTCGTACTCTTGGGGGCTGCTTAAGACATTGTCCTGCTAAACCATATATAACTGAAATAAGCTGAATAGAAATGAATAAATAAATACATAAAAGAAACACCTGAACAAGAGGAGCCTATAGAGAATTTATAGAGCTGATCTTGGAAAAATATGTTTGCATTCAGGTCGTAATTTTGATTGCAAACGCTGCCAAACAGGACAGGATTTTTTTTTTAGTCTTTAGCTATTTTAATAAGAGCAGTCTCAGTACTGTGGTGAGTTCTAAAGGGTTCAGTGAGCTCATGGAGGTTTATTAAACTTTCACATCGTTCCTTCACATTTTTATGCATTCAACAAATACTTTGCATTCAGAAATATTAATTACTGGAAGACTAAACAGGAAACTAATCCACTGACAGTAATGAAACTGTGCATGCAAGCAGTCTTTAACAATCAAGCAAGTTACTGTGTAAACATTAACTGCAGTTCTCAATTATGCCACAGTGTGGCGCTCTAACACAGAACAATTACAGAAAATCAAAGCCTACTCTAGTTTACACTGATTTGAGTGCCGTCTAAATGACTATAAACCTTGTGTCACCATAAGAAGTAATCAGAGGAGCAGTGCTGGTATGATTTTTTATACTCTATCAGGATTATAAAACACAGGGATGATAGTATATTCATCAGGATTCACGACTTACAGTATATATTGCTTACACAGATGAATGTTTTATTCTCTAAGACAAAGGCTGCGGCTCAAGTTTAAAAGAAAAGTTTGACATTTAAAAGTGTTAAAGCATAGCAAACCAGAAGAAAAGAAGTAAGCAGGTCCAAACAAGGACCCACCAGTCCATCATCTATAACCAGGACATCATCGAGAAATAAGTGTACTAACTTCCGTAAGGGTGGACTCTAATTTAAATACATTTTGAACAGATAAATATTAAGTATACTTTCTAAGACAGTTCATCTTTTGTATAGACACATAGTCTGTCGTAGTTCTAAATATGCCTGCTCATTACAAGCAAGCTCAGGAAAAGAGAACAGAATCCCAGATTAGCAGGAGAAACAGTCATATGCACAGTTTAAGCACATATATGTGTTTGCATAATGTCTTTGAATAATTCTTATTGAGTCTGCACTTCTAAGGGCAGTTCACACTGAAACAGTCATTTGTACTTCTTTTGATTCCTCTAGAAGTCACTGCTGGTTGAAGTTTTTCTTCTAACTTCATGGCCGAGTCAGGGCATGCTAATGCACAAATTCCTGCTGCTGTTTAAAACTCTCCAGATCATCAGGGCAGAGCTCGTCATAGCTCAGCAGACAACTGTTACCGACAATTCGTGGGGGCTGTAGAGAGAAGAAATAACAGAGGTCATGAATTAGAGTTTACAAGAGTCATAAAAAAATATGATTACTGCATATCAGGCTCTGCGTGTAAAAACGAACAGTGACTAAGTGTAAGGATGATTCTCTGAAATAAGGGAAAGGAGTTTGCAGGCTTCTGTCTGACTGACTTTAAAGAAAAGAGAGAAAAAATCTAATTTGATTGTACAACTATCTGGTCAAAAAGACCCATGTATCTATATCCATATCTATATCTCTTCAAATGTCTTGGCTCCAACACTTCTTTACTTGCTTTAGAAATGAACAGAGGGCCTCTTCCTCCTGAACTCTTGCTCACTGTGTCAGAGTTTTAGCTACTTCTCAGCCTCCTTTAGTAATGATGATACTTGTAACAAATATGGTTACAGCTCTGGAGGCCAGGAGCTTCAAAGAGTAGTTGTCAAACAGCTAACAGATCATCTGCATAGGAATGACTTATTATAAGAGTTTCAGTCAGGTTTCAGAGCTCATCACAGCACAGAAACAGCTTTAGTGAAGGTTACAAATGATCTTCTCATGGCCTCTGACAGTGGACTCATCTCTGTGCTTGTCCTGCTAGACCTCAGTGAAGTGTTCGATACTGTTGACCATGATTTATTACCGTGATTAGAGCACGCTGTAGGTATTACAGGTACTGCGCTGCAGTGGTTTGAATCATATCTATCTAACAGACTCCAATTTGTTCATGTAAATGGAGTCTGTTATACATTACATTATACACGCTTCCCTTAAGCCAGGGGTCAGCAACCTTTAACACCCAAAGAGCCGTTTGGAGCCGGTTTCCACGCAAAAGAAAACACTGGGAGCCTCAAATACTTTTTGACATCTAAAATGAAGATAACTCTCGGAGCCGCAGGTTGCCGACCCCTGGGTTAAGCAGTATTATTAGAAGACATAGCATACAATTTCACAGCTATGTAGATGACAGCCAACTCTATCTGTCCATGAAGCCAGATAACACAAACCAATTAGTTAAACTGCAGGAATGTCTTAAAGACATAAAGACCTGGATGAAGTTTAATTTCCTGCTTCTAAATTTAGATTCAGATAAAACTGAGGTTATTGAATTCGGCCCTGAAAATCTTAGAAATATGGTATCTAACCGGACTCTTACTCTGGATGGCATTACCTCGGCCTCCAGCAACACTGTGAGGAATCTACTTTATATCCTTCAATGCACATAAACAAATTTGTAGGATTACTTTCTTTCAATTGCACAACATCTCTCAAAATATAAATATCCTGTCTCAGAGTGATGCTGAAAATTCCGAAAAGCCTTCAGTTAATCCAAAATACTTCAGCAAGAGTGCTGACCGGCAGAAGAAAGACAGACCATATTTCTCCTTAAAAACTGATCTTGAATAATCAGACCCCACCTTATCTTAAAGACCTCATTGTACCGTATCTTCCCAATAGAGCACTTTGCTCTCGATCTGCTGGTTTACTTGTGATTGCTAACACATTTAAAAATAAAATCGGAGCCAGAGCCTTCAGCTTTCAGGCCCCTCTTCTGTGGAACCAGCTCCCAGTTTGGATTCGGGAGACAGACACTATCTCTACTTTTAAGAGTAGGCTTAAAACATTTCTTTTTGATAAAAGCATATAGTTAGGGCTGGATCAGGTGACCCTGAATCCTCTGTTAGTTATTCTGCAATAGGTCCAGTGTTTCACCTTCACTCACTATGTGCTTATGCACCAATCTGCATTTAATCATTAGTTATGCTCTATGGCTCTTTTCCACAGTGTGTTTTTGTCCTGTCTTCCTCCACTAACAACCGGTCGCAGCAGAAGGCCTACCCTCCTTGAATTTGGTTCTGCAAGAGATTTCTTCCTTTTAAAGGGGAGTTTTTTATTCCCACTGTCACTGAAGTGTTTGCTCATAGGGGATCATCTGATTTTTGGGGTTTTCTAGGGTCTTTACTAGTGCTGTCAGCGTTATTCTCATTAATACGACGTTAACGCCTTAACCGCATTAACACAGCAAATTCCCGTTCGGCCCATGCCAGGGTTGCACGGCGCTAACACGTTAACACAGTGCAGCCCTCGCAAGTTCAGTCTAATCTCGTCCTCTCAAAAAATGATGACTGTTAACAGCTGCCGCTTTACTGAGAAAAGCAGCCAGTGAGGGTTTATAGGAAACACTCGAAACACACTGGGCCCCAGTCTGGATGGGCCTGGGCCCCCTTTCCCTGGCGGGTCGCGGAGTATGGGAGTGCCTACTGGGGTCAGCGGGGGAGCTGGCCCCAGGGAGGGGTCACCTGCCCCTCCCTTCCTTCCCTCCCCATCTCCAGCTGCCTCCCTCTTCCCGCTCCACCACAACCACCCACACATGCAGGGCCTTGGAGTAGGGGTATGTCACCAGGGTGCAGAGGAGGCTACCCCCCCCCCCCCTCTGTCCCCTTCTGGCTGCCTCTGCCTCAATTTTATCCCACAACTTAGACATTCACATTACTCACACTCTCATTACACATACATATAGGATCTTGGGGGTGGGCACGATACACGGAGTCCAAATTACCATCAGGGTGTACACCCACCCCTGGCGTCGTTGCCCACCTCTCAATTTTGAATACACGTAGACATTAAGGGCTAGCAGGAGGGACTATGCGCTTACCTGCTGCTCTCTGGCAGGTAGCTCCATGCCCTCCTGGGTTTTAAATGCACCTTAGAACACACATGCATCAACACTACAATGAGCGGGGAGGGAGGTTTGGAGTCTTCTCTCACCCCCGTTCTCTGCGGCCTGCTAGGAGGAGTTGGCCGTCCGACTGCGGTCTGGAGTGTGGGGCCTCCCTGCTGCTGCGGAGTCGGGGCGGTCTGCCTCTCCCCACCGCAGGGAAAAGGGTAACACCACCTGGGTCTGGGTGCAGTTCCCCCTCCAGGGGCAAGGGTACCTAGACCCGGTTCGTAGAGTACGCTTGGGGAGTGTGATCGTGTGTACAGCGTCTCTTTATGTCTGTCTCCACGTTGGTTGAGTGTGGAGTAAGTGCATATGAGAGCATGAGGGTGGGAATGGATGTTTGTGTCTGTGTGTGCCTGTATGTCTGTGTCTATATGTCAGGTTGGGTATCAGACGCCACCTCTCTGGGACATCTCAGGCCCTCCAAGGTTTGGAGGCTTATCTCCACCCACCACCACTTCCCCTGCCAGTGGCGGACTCCCTCAGGTATCGGTGCGTTGGTGGTTCTTTGTGTCTGGGGTGGGCGTCCGGGTACACACCGGCTCACTCCTTGGCGGCCGCTTATCGGGGCCTGGAGCCTGGGGCTCGCTCGGGCCACTTCGGAGGTGGGGTGCCCCCGGCCTCTCGGCCTGGGGCTCGGTCACTCAGGCACAGCTGGCTGCCGACGGAGCTCACGGGCGCGTCACTGCAACTCCCCTGGCTTCTTCTCCGCGGCTGCTGAGTGAGCCCTCATCTGGGACTCTCCTCAGCTCTTACTGGGACAGTGGCGCAGCTGCCCCTCTGTGGTCTTCCTTGGTCTCTTGTGTTCTGGGAGCCTCTGGATGTCTGGAGCTTTGATCTCCTCCATACCTGCTTCATACCCTGGAGGACGGGGCTGTGGCTCCCCACACTCCCTAGCAGATCGTTACATGGAGAAACCTTTGGAATGCAAGCATGCTGATCCACACAGGTATGCACACAGGTGTACACACGGGTATTCACAGACGCAGACTACAGCTTTCTTGGCTGCTGCCTCAAAGCACATTGGCCTTGGCCTTAAGACAACAATTCTGATGGCTAAAGATCCAAACGGGACACAAAAAAAAAAAAAAAAAAGGAAACACTCGATCTTTGCTCCGATACCAACTGTGTATTATACAGTAGTGCTAAAAGCAGCATTGACTCAATGCAACTTCCTACTTACCACAGATTCTCCAGTCTGTAATTTGAATTATTCACAAGATTCACCAGCTGAATCATATCTGAATCCTGCAGGCCGTTTCTACTCAGGTCCAGCTCTCTCAGGTGGTAGGGGTTTAACTTCAGCGCTGAGCACAGAAAAGTACAACTGGCCTTTGACAAAGAGCACTCCCTTAGTCTGAATAAAGAATAAAATAAAAAGACAATGTTTCTGTTTAAATATTTCATATAAATAATCAAACATAATAAGTAAAAAAAGAGCTGTCATTATTACTAATCAAATCTTGCTATTTCTGCTGCACAACAAAGACATAATAAAATCAGCTCTCATACACTGCCAGCTCAAGCAGTGACTTCATTTACATGCAGTTGTGCTCAGCAAAAAACATATGCACACCCATTTAACTGCCTGTTAACGCTGATTTGCGTAATGCCTAATGGCAGTAACTCAATGCATTTAGGCATGTGGGCATGGTTAAGACAAGCTACCTACTTAAGTTCAAATCAAGCAACAAGTGATTTTGAGCATATCAGGATTATTTGAACCACACAGGTGGTTCTGAGTGTTTTAGAAACTACTGATCTGATTTACCCACAAACCATCTTTAGGGTTTACAGAGAATAGACACAAAAGCAACAAGTTCTCTTTATTTTTTTTATTTTTATTTTTTTTGCCTGTCCCATTTGGTTCTTTAGCCATCAGAATTGTTGTCTGAAGACCAACAAGGATACCCAATGGATTTACTTTGCCAAATGGATCATCGTGGCATTGCCGTATTGGTCCATTTGATCGACCTTTGTTTTTATTATTTATTATATTTTATTTTCAGATGTTACAGACGGGACAGACATGAGTGAGGGATAGGAAAGGGAGAAAGAAAGGGGAAGGAAAAGAAAACAGAAGGGGAGAGGGACAGTGAGAAAGGGGGGGAGAAAAAAAATCTCCTGGATCACCTGTTGAGAGAAGAAGAATAGAAAACAAGAAAAAAACAACAACAAAGCAACATACTAAACACAACACCATCGCATTAATCTAGCTAAGTGTAAACAGCAGTAAATACTAAATATTCAATGTTGTTGTGCAGCACGCAGGACAGACAGCGCACAATGTGCTTTGAAGTAGCAGCCAAGAAAGGTGTAATTTAAGTCCACGAGCAGTGAACACCCGTGTGCATAGCAACAAGTTCTCTGAGTGAAAATCTCTTATTGATGCAAGAGGGAAAATGGCCGAACTGTTTTGGGCCTCTAAATGCACAACATGTTGAACCTTAAAGCAGAAGAACACAGTGGGTGCCACATGTAGCAGCTAACAACATGAAAGGGTTGGGGACCACCAAAGTGGACAATAGAAGAGCTGAAAAACAATTCCCTTGTCTAATGTGTCTCGATTTCTGCTGCAACATTCTAAAGGCAGTCAGAATTTGGCATAAACAAACTGCAGATCCGTTGTGTCTTGTATTAGGGACAGATAAAACAAGATATTTGAACATGACTTTTTGTGAATTGAACCTGTAAGATCATCATTACATTCTGAAAACACAGTTTAATATGAAAACACAGCTGACCTCAGAGTTTCCAGTTGACAGGGTCGACACTCCAGAAAACCACACAACTGCTTTACTCCAGAATCCTGCAGCTTGTTGTAACTCAGATCCAGATGTCTCAAGCGGGAGGGGTTGGACTTCAGAGCTGAGCTCAGAGTAGCACAGCTAATCTCTGACAATCCACAGTGCCACAGTCTGAATAACAAAAGAAGAAAGAAAAAGACAGATACAATTATTTCTGACCTAATGACATGTTGACAGGTTTTAAACGTAGTGCCACATCACTTTATAGTATGTAATGCACAGATATAAAACTAATTCAGGGAAAAGGTATCATAAAAAAAATCACTAACTGAAATAACGACTTAGCATTTCTCTAATGATGGTTTTGTATCTTGCAGGCATTCAGTGATGATTAGATTGGATTACTTAGATAGGAGGAATTAAAAATCATGTAGGATCGGTTAACCCTAGCAGGTATGATTACTAAGCTTTGGCTAAAATTTCACTGGTACATGCTTCCAAACAATCCCCCCCCCATTAAGAGCAGTCTGTTACATATTTTAGCTAGTCTGAAATGGTACAAAATGGTGTTGTTCACTTTCTAAGCACAGAAAAGGATACTAACCAAAGCAAGGTTTCACTTTGTGTACTTTTTATGTACTTTTTTGGTTGTTTTGGAAAATCCTGAAAATGTATATCCAAATTTATAAAGTAAATGTATTAAAAATAACAACAACGGTCAGGGTACTGACTTCAGGGTCTTCAGTCTGCAGTTTGGACTCTCCAGTCCTACAGAGAGCAGTTTCAGTCCCGAGTCCTCCAGCTCATTGAAGGTCAGATCTAACTCTATCAGATGGGAGGGATTGGACTTCAGGGCTGAGGCCAAGACTTCACAGTGAGTCTTTGAAATTCCACAGTCAGAAAGTCTGTGATAAGACAAATTTGCAAAAGACATTATCATGGAAGAAGATACTACATATTTATTTTTGCTTTTGCATTTAACATCAAAACAGTTGAGCAGATCTTGTTCAATCAGGGAACCCATCAGCGAAAAGCCTTTTGGGAACAACAGCCAATTTGGGGGCTTTCCAGTGTAGCTAGCTGATATCTAGACCAAGAAGCATTCTGAGTAGAGATGTCAAGACTTTTGATCATCCAGGGCACCTCTTTCAATTTAACAGCTGCTCTGAAAGAAAGCCCAGCCACACCTCATAGAAAAATCATTGCTACCACTTGTATCTGCAACATCATCCATTCAGTCCGAGCTTGTGACCATAGGTGAGAGTAGGAATGAGAGTAGGATGCGGCAGCGTGTGCTGCACTGACCGCCAGCTAGAGTGAATGGCCCAAAATTTGTGTTGCGCTGACTACTGCACTCGACTTGTATGTCATTTTTTTGTGCTCACTCTATGTGTACCAGATGTGCCTGCTCTGTGTCATTTCAAAACATTTATCTCTCATCCATAAAAGGCAAAACATTGTAAGTATCCCAACTAGGGAAGAGTATGTCGTTTCCACAACAGTGCTTTCCTCCACATAGCTTGAGTAAGTCACTCCATTGAGTGACTTACTCAAGAGCTCCAGGAGGTCCCTATATATGTATGTAAACATGTGTCATGGAGTTCCTCGTTCATTGTGTGGTTGAGGTTAGTGTGACTGTAGGCTTCGTTTCTCTTGGTTGTGCAAAGGTATGTCATAGCATATAGCGGTTAAAGTTCAGCTGGGTTGAACTTTGACCACAGCATGTGCGAGTACTCTTGTGCAACAGAAAAGAATGGGTTTTGGAGTACAGAGCTGCACATGCCGCGTCTTATGTGAAAGGGCCTTTAGACTTACAGAGCCTTTCTGCAGTTCCTCACAGCTGGGATCAGTCTCTGTCGCCCTGCCTCTGAAGTGTTGTACTTGTTCAGGTCCAATTCATCCAGAACTTCTGACATTTGCAGCATGTAGGCCAGAGCTGAGCAGTGGATTTCATAGAGTCTCTTCTCTGATCTGTTCTCTGAGTTAAGGAACTCTTGGATCTCCTGATGTACTGAGAGGTCATTCATCTCCATCAGACAGTGGAAAATGTTAATGCTTCTGTCGGGAGATATTTTATCGCTGTTCATCTTCTTCAGGTTGTTTATAATTCTCTTGATGATTTGTGGACTATTTTGCAAATGACCCAGTAAGCTTCCTAAAAGTCTGTGGTTGGACTCCACACTAAGGCCATGAAGGAAGCGAACAAACAGGTCCAGGTGTCCATTTTTACTTTGCAAAGATTTCTCCATGGCTCTGCTCAGAAAGACATCCAGAGATGGGATGGAACAATTAATATTTCCAGATTGTTTAGAGGTTTTCTCAAGAAAAGACTTTATATTTATAAAGTCCTGCAGAACATCAGTATTTTTATTAGTGAAACAGTGGAACATATAAACGGCAGCTAGAAACTCCTGAATGCTCAGATGAACAAAGCAGTAGACTGGTTTCTGAAAGATCACACACTCTCTTTTGAAAATCTCTGTACAAAGTCCTGAGTTCACCGAGGCCTCTGTGACATCCACACCATACTGCTCCAGGTCTTCTTGGTAGAACATGAGGTTTCCTTTTTCCAAATGTTCAAATGCCAGCCTCCCAAGCTTTAAAAGACCTTTCTTGTCAGCCTCCATCAGCTCTTCTGGACTTGCTTCTTCTCCCTCATGGTACTTTTGAATCTTCCTTTTGTTGTACCAACAGGAAGTGTGAGTACATGTCGGTCATGGTCTTGGCAGCTCTTCTCTCTGCCCTCCAGTCAACATGTGCTCCAGAACTGTAGCAGTGATCCAACAGAAGACTGGGATTCCACACATGATGTGGAGGCTCCTGGATGACTTGATGTGGGAAATAATTTTGCCGGACAGCTCTTCATCACTGAATCTCTTCTTAAAGTACTCCTCTTTCTGAGCATCAGTGAAACCTCGCACTTCGGTGACACGGTCAACACGTGTAGGAGAGATATGATTGGCCGCTGCTGGTCGGGAAGTTATCCAGATGAGAGCCATAGGAAGCAGTCTGCCTTCAATGAGGTTTGTCAGCAGATTCGTGACCGTTGACTTCTGTGTGACATCAGACATGACGTCCCTCTTAGTGAAATCCAGTAAAAGTCTGCTTTCATCCAGACCATCAAATATAAACAAAAGTTTACAGACAGCCAGCTTCTCTGCTGTGACCTTCTGTAATGTTGGATGGAAAACCTGGAGCAGCTCCAGGAGACTATACTGCACATCTCTGATCAGGTTCAGCTCCCTGAATGAAAGCAGAACCACCACACTGATGTCTTGGTTTTCCAAACCTTCTGCCACAAGTCCAGCCAGAGTGAACTTGATCAGTGTTCAACTAAAAAAAAAAAACACAGAGGTTTTTGGTTTCAGACTCACTTATGGTATTATCCTATCTGTTCTGGATAACTCATTGATTGGTAAGGTTTCATTTTTTTTTTCACAGATTCGACCCAGCAGTAGATGAAGCACACAAAAAAAAAAAAAAAAACAAAAAAAAAAAAAAAAAAAAAAAAACAAACCTGTAGCTCAAATGGATAAAAAAAAAAAAAAAAAAAAACAGGAAAATCATAAATGTGTTATGGAACTGCTTTGATTCATCCATAGTTGATCGGACTGTCACATCATGAATGAGGTATAGATCCAACAAACCTGGAATTGAGGCCTATGGGGGGCCCCGTCTGTGGTTGAACCTTCTCACAGTGACTCATCGTCATCAGTGTTTGGGTTATTCTCCTCCTCATCTGTCGTTGATCTGGATGAACGCTGTGATAGAGCTCCGTGTAGTCAGTTAGAGCGTGAAGAGAATTTCACCATCCCTGTTATATCATGTCCCTCTCAGTCACAGATTGACATCCCACTCTTCACGACTATGTCAAACGAAACATGTCCCTGGACAGTGGCGGGGTGCAAAATTCAGCTGTCTGAGTGGTGGTTCAGGTCTGGGGTAAGGAGGGAGCGGGGGTGGGTCACGAGGGCGGGTGAGGCCGGGATTGCTCCATATCTCTAACCTGGGAAACCAGGTAGAATGACATTCAATGAGGCACAGATCTTTGACACTGTTAGAGCCAATTGCACCTCCTCATTGCTTTGGATCTGTGGCATTTGCTGTGAGACAAACTGCACATTCCAGGGTGCTTGTGTGGCAGTCTGAGGACACCTTGCATATCATGATGTCAGATCAGCATCCTGATGCACCTGTAGGTGGAGGTTATCTCAATATAGCAGTTGCCCCTACCACACATTTGGACTATTGTGCCACTGTGGAGGTGTATATGTGTTCTGGAATGAATTTAGTCTCTACGTCCATCCATGGGATGGGAGCAGAACAAGGTGTTGCGTTATATTTTGTTGAGTGTATTCTTAGTTTAATGACTCCATCAGCACAGATGCTCATTTTACTTTGCAAAATTCCAGAACTGGACACGGGCTCCTGCACACACTTGTTCTTTCTGTGGATAGAAAGGGAAACTTATTCTGGCCATGTGGCGAAACATGAAGTTAATTAAGTTGAAAGTCTCAGTATGGTCTATTACTAAGTCAATGCTCTTTCTTTACTTATCAAGCAATAATCATTTCCTTTTACACCATCAGAACTTATATTAATCAAAACACGAGTTCTCAGCACCCTGTCGACACATCTGTTTACAAGGAAGAGGGTTTATCATGACAGTATTTTCCTGATATCTGCTTTTCGGTCTCTTCCTGAGGACTCTACTACCAAGCAGCATTTTGTCCAACTGTGAAGGTGGTTCACTTCTTACCGAGGTAAATCGCCATGGTAACCTATCCTGTTACGTTCAAGATTGGAGATTAACTGGTATAAAATAATCCCCTACTGACCAATCGATTAACCAGAAATTAACATCACCATTTCTAGAAGATCTCTCAGACCTCTATGGGGAGAGTTGGAGGGTCTAAGTCAGTAGTGGGGAAACTCCAGGCCTCAAGTGCCTGCGGGGTGGGGATGTATCCTTCATCCAACACAGCTGATTTTAATGGCTAAATTACTTCTCCATCTTGAAGTTCTCCAGAGGCCTGGTAATGAACTAATCAGTTGATCCGGGTGTGTTGACCCAGGGTGAGATCTAAAACCTGCAGGACACTGGCCCTGGTTTAAAGTTTTTCAGTTAGTTTTTGTATTTCCCTGATCTATCTGGGATGGAGTTTACATGTTCTATCAGTGTTTGTGTGGGTTCACTCCAGAAACTCTGGCTTCTTCCCACAGTCCAAAGGCATGCAGTAAGTGGAGTTAGGTTATTACTTATACGTGTGAATGTGAGTACGAATGGTTTCGTCACCAATTACTCAACAGACAGCATGGAAAATGGAAAACTGCACTCAAAATAAATGAGTAATTTTAGCTTCACATGTCAATACCATGCCTGAAACCCAAAAAGTGTGCTAGTTAGATATATTTTTTTTAAAAGTCTTTACCCTACATTTACTTTGTGGGTATCTGGTCACCCTAGTCCCTGGGTGGAGTCCCTACTATGCAGAGGTATCAGGTAGTTGTGGTATTTAACAAAAACAATAAAAAATAAATTATTACATATGAGTTGCAGGGAAAAACAAAAACAAAAAAAACGGAAGAACAACATTATTCTACAACTAAAGACACTACCACTGACTCTGGCTCATTTGCAGGTCAGTGTAAAGCAGAAACCGCCTCTTACTTTGTGTCTGAGGGTCCCGTTCATTACTGAAGTTTGGAGGACGACCTTTGGACCAGTCACTGGCCATAGACATACAGCTGGGCACGAGGGACGATGTTCCATCCTCCTCTTCCTCCAAATTATTGTTTCCCTAATGAGGATCAACAATACATAACAAATATCGATTTTTTAATTTTAATTTTTTGTTTTCTGTTGGTAGCAAACATTTTCACAACAGCATTATTGTTCTATAAGAATTAACCCTGCTCCTCACATACAAGGTCTTAAATAATCAGGCCCCATACCCTGAATCCTCCCTTAGTTATGCTGCAGTAGGTGTAGGCTGCTGGGGATTCCCATGATGCAGTATTTCTCTTCAGTCATGTTTCTCACTCACTCATGTGTTAATAGACCTCTCTGCACTGAATCATACTTGTTATTAATCTCTGTCTCTCTTCCACAGCATGTCTTTATCCCGTCTTCCTTCTCTCACCCCAACCAGTTGCAGCAGATGGCCCCGCCCCTCCCTGAGCCTGGTTCTGCCGGAGGTTTCTTCCTGTTAAAAGGGAGTTTTTCCTTCCCACTGTCGCCAAATTGCTTGCTCATAGGGGTCATATGACTGTTGGGTTTTTCTCTGTATGTATTATTGTAGGGTCTACCTTACAATATAAAGCGCATTGAGGTGACTGTTGTTGTGATTTGGCGCTGTGTAAATAAAATTGAATTGAATTGAATTGAATATCAGATCCTGAAACAGGACACTTTCCGCTGACCTCATAAGAAGTTTGTACGTACACTACGTCTGAAATCTTTTTATATTTCATTTTTACTTTGAAACCCTTAAACAACACCAAGTCTGCTGCTGAACACAACAGAAATGAAAACTGTCAGGAGCGGATTATGTTCCGACTTTCACAACACGTTTTCTCTGAGTCTTTCATTTAAAGATTGTTTTAAGTGTATTATAGATTCTATGCTGGGAAATAAACGTTATATGTACAGTTTGCTGTTGATTTACTGTTACTTTTCTGTGTTCTTTATAGGTTTATCCTTCACATCATCACTACCATGCCTGAAACCCAAAAAGTGTATTAGTAAGATTTTTTTTTAAGTCTTTACCCTACATTTAGTTTGTGGTATCTAACTATGGGTACCTAACTATGCAGAGGTATCAGGTAGTTGTGGTATTTAACAAAAACAATAAAAATAAAATTATTACATATGAGTTGCAGGTTAAAAACAAAAACAAAAACCGGAAGAACAACATTATTCTACAACTAAAGACACTACCACTGACTCTGGCTCATTTTCAGGTCAGTGTAAAGCAAAACCGCCTCTTACTTTGTGTCTGAGGGTCCCGTTCATTACTGAAGTTTGGAGGACGACCTTTGGACCAGTCACTGGCCATAGACACAGGAGACGGTGTTCTGTCCTCCTTCCTCCAAATTATTCATCTTCAAGCACTTGTAAACAACAATTCTGCGAACGCACAACCTGAGAATGAAGACAGGTTTGTTCAAAAGTCACCCAAGACCAGTACACACACACACACACACACACACACACACACACACAGAGAGAGAGAGAGAGGGTCCACTCTCTCTCTCTCTTACTCTCTCCTTATTGTCCACTTTTGCTCTGTCGGCTGTTTCAACATGTACACAAGTACGTATAAGTATACGAGGCGCCTCGAGGCGACTTTTGTTGTGATTTGGCGCTAAATAAATAAAATTGAATTGAATTACGTGGATCACCCGAACACAGGAAAGACCATCGATTACATGATTGTTAAAGAGACGCGAGAGCACCGCACATGTTAAACACAGCTTACAGTAGTGATGGCCGCTTGAAGCTGACGCTCCGGAGCGTGTGTCGAAAAAAACAACACACTGGTTCAGAAGCACTGAGTCGAGGCTTGCTTCGTTTGGCAAAAGTCACGTGACCAGTGACGTCCGAAGCTTCATTAACGCACGTAACTGCTTCGGTACCTGATTCAAACGGATATAAGGAAGTGAATCATCCACGGGATTCGTGGAGTGTGCTGATGGTGACAGATAGCGAAGAGGTGATCATTCCACTGACAGATATGGAGCCAGCGAGGAAGAGAGGACGTTCTGGCGTGTGGAAATATTTTGAGTTGATTTTGCTCAATTCATTTTATCTGCCGAAGTGAAAAACTTGAAATGTCCAAAATCATGTTTTCATAATGTAAATATCATTACAGCATATGACTGTAGGAACACTTCCATGTGAATTAAAGCTAATGAAGACTACAAAAATGTATTTGACACTATACGTACATGACATTGCTACACAGTTTAGAAAATCATTTTGTTTATTGTTGTTAGGTGATAGTCTGCAGGACCCAGGAATACCTGCATATCTACCAACTTGCAGTGTGGTTCCTGCACCACAGCCTCT